CAGTGAGCGGCTGGTCTGTATGTGGGATCCGAACCCTCGGTGGGAGCGCCGCCGCGCTCCCAAGCGGTGCACTGTAGCAGTGCGCCACCGGGCCGGCCCCTACATAGACATGTTTTTAATGTTACTGTATCTTTAAAATATTACTAAAAAGGGCTGGCCTGGTGGCGCACTTGCTAGAGTGTGGCACTTGGGAGCGCAGTGGCGCTCCCGCCGAGGGTTCGGATCACATATAGAGACCAGTCTGCTCACTGGTTGAGCGCGGTGCGGGCGCGACACTGATGGTTGCAATCCTGTTGCCAGTCGCGGTGCGGGCGCGACACTGATGGTTGCGATCCTGTTGCCAGTCGCGGTACGGGCGCGACACTGAGGGTTGCGATCCCGTTACTGGTCACGAAAAAAGACAAAAAGAAAAAAAAAATATTACTAAAAAAAGAATATACAACATAGAAAATACATGTGTTAGGTCAAAAAAGACTAAATACAAAAAGCAGAGATTATACATTTTACAATCTCATACCTCTGCACAACAAAAAACAATATAATAAGGGATGTGATATAGACGTAAGTATTTCACAGAAAAATGTTTAGACCGGGTCAAACCAATGTTTTTAAAATTTTTATTTAAGTGTTTATAATAATAAAGGTGATGGTAATAGAAGTGCTACTACTGTTTACTGAAGGCTTGTTCTATGTGTCAGGTATGTTACATATCATTTAATATTCTGAACAGTCCAGTAGAGAGGATTTTGCAAATGGTGATCCTGAGATCAAGAGAAATAAAGCAGCTTTTTTTCTGTGTTACCTACCTGTTATGTGGCAGTGCTGGAATTCACTCCCCTCAGTCTAGCTTCAGGGGTTGTGCTTTAGGTTAATCAGAAAGAAAAGGAAAAATGCAAAACTATTGAGTAGGGACCTGAAGATTTTGGAAAGCAAAGTGTAATCATCAAAACAAAAAGAAAAAAGGAAGCAATAAAAGAACTAAATATGTAACTAGAAAGTGAAATAAGAACGAGTGAAGAGATGATTTTTAAAAAAAAAAAAAATAAATCACAATTGATAAATTACTGGTAAATTTAAAGGAACAATGCAAATTAAGAAAATTAAGAATTAAGATATATATCAACTGCAATTAAAATAATTATCCAAGGGCCGGCCCGTGGCTCACTCGGTAGAGTGCGGTGCTGATAACACCAAGGCCGCGGGTTCGGATCCTATATAGGGATGGCCGGTTTGCTCACTGGCTGAGCGTGGTGCTGACAACACCAAGCCAAGGGTTGAGATCCCCTTACCGGTCATCTTTAAAAAAAAAAAAAAAAAAAAAATTATCCAATGAGTCTGAAATTCAAAAATCAATGTTTTCTTCAAAAGTATAATATGAAGATTGATTTAAAAAATTGAGAACATAAATAGATGAGCAGTTGAATAAGAAATCTGGAAAGTTATAATGAATTTCTATACCTAAAAACAGGTAATTTTTTCTATATTTTCAAATAATAAATCTCATTCTATATAAACTGACCCTAAATATAACACACACACCCCAAGAAAACACGGCTTGCTACCTAATCTGTTCTGTAGTATAGATAGGCTGTTAATCCTAAAATCTGGCAAAGACATGAAAAGAAGTGGAAGTCGATCTTTCTAATTAATATGGATGCAGAAATTGTAAATAAAAGTCTATCAGGTAGAAACAAGTTAGCATACTGGAAGATTTATATAAGTAGATCTTTGACTTACATTTTTTTCCTTGAATGTATGGAGGTCATATGTAAAGAAAATGATAACATTTTAATGGGAAAGATATAGGTTAAATATAGAGAGAAGATAGCCAGTGCCCTCTGATATGATGACTAAACATAGGAAAAATGGTAGCACTTCCCAGTTAATTCAGGCATTTAACTTAATTGCTGCTAGTATATCAATGGAATACTTTATAGAATCTGCATAAGTAATTCCACAATTCATATGAAAAAGCAAATTAGCAAGAGGATCAGAGGATTCAAAAGGAGAATGGGCTGTATGGAGACTTGCTTTCTTATATTACAAAGCCACAGTCATTTATGTAGCCAAGAGAAAGGAAGACCAACAAGCCAGAGTTGATGAGACATATTACAAAGCCACAGTCATTTATGTAGCCAAGAGAAAGGAAGACCAACAAGCCAGAGTTAATAAGTAGAGTCTAATTTACATAAGAATGTAAAGAATTATAACTAAGAGCATGGGGAAAGGCGTTTAAAACTACTGTGATGATTCAAGTTAAAACATAAAACCCACAGCCTAAAAAAATACTAAGAAAGGCAGAATACACTTTTAAACTGATGAAGCAATAGAGGAAATAAGCCAGATTAGTGTGACTGTGCACAAGTTTACAAACTCGTAACTAAAAACAACACAATATAATGATGAAAAGGAAAGCACTCCAAATGGAAAAATATTTGATAGTTAAAAGTTTAATATTACAGGACATGAGGACATGGCTAAGATTGAGTTCAAGGGAACTTGGTGTCTCACCAGTGGGTCACACCATAAGAAACAAAATATCAAAAGTGTTGAATTATTTAATCTACTAATAATTTATTATTTTTATTTATTTTTATTTTTTTTTTATAAAAGATGACCGGTAAGGGGATCTCAACCCTTGGCTTGGTGTTGTCAGCACCACGCTCAGCCAGTGAGCAAACCGGCCATCCCTATATGGGATCCGAACCTGTGGCCTTGGTGTTATCAGCACCGCACTCTCCCGAGTGAGCCACGGGCCAGCCTTTAATCTACTAATAATTTAAAATGTAATCTTAATTTTGTGATATAAGTATATAGTAAATGAAAAAAAGAAAAATCATTTTAAAATCCTAGTATGGCGAATGAGAAATAAATAAATTGTAAATATTTATTGTTTATATATTTTATTATATATTTTAGTATATATTAACAAATAAAAATATATTTTAATATTTAGTATATTTAAATTTTATATCTAATAATATATTTAATATATATTTAAATATATCAATATATTGTTTGTATATTTAATATATGTTTATATATGAATATATGCATATTTTAAATGTTTTATTATAATTAGTATACATTATATTAATATATATTTCAATATCTATTTAAAATTATATGTTAACATATATGTTAATATATATTTACCTATGAGTGAAGATTATACAATTTCATACTGGCAGTCATTATTGTAATATAAAATAATAGATCAATTTTACCTAAATTACTGAAATTTAAAAATTTTTATAAGTATTAAGGAAAAGTCATGTCGGGATCTCCAGTTGGATATTCATGTCCTCTAACAATCAACAGACTTTCAAAAACCCCTAACAGTTACAGTCGTGCTTTTATTTTACAGTGCTCGTTTCAGAGTCTAGCAGATGTTTCTGCAAGTGGGCAGCCTGGGAAGGCTGGCATTGCCGCTGTCTCTGTGAGTACCCAGCACGGGTCCATCCTGCAGATCAACAGTACTTTGGAAGAGAAAGAAGTTTGTAGGTTTGTGCTGCTGTGATGTGATCTTACTGAAGCCTGCATTTTCTTTCGACTTTTTCCTAATTGGTTTTTAACTTTAAACTATTTTTCTTTATCTTTCCTGGTCTACGCCCAGGAATGAATATCATTTTGCCTTGATGACATTACCAAAATCCAAGTCCTTATTTCCTAATCTCGCCATTTGTTTTAATCTTTCATAGGCTGGAATACAAATTTGGAGAATTTGGAAACTATTCTGTCTTGGTAAAGCACACCCATAAGGGAGTCAGTGAAATTGCTTGTAACCTGGTGGTTAATGAGAATCCAGTCTACAGTGACCTTCGTATGTATATGTTCTTTGTTGATCTTTTAAATTTGCATTTTCAAAGATTTCAGGGTTTGGTTTTTGGGTTTTTTTCTCTTAATCTCATGAGATCAGAAGGTTTCAGTTTTTGAGTACTGTTTGTAGAGTGAAGCAGTACATGACACCCTGTGTAATTTAAAACCTGGATTATATATTATTTAGTTATGGTATAAAGTGTCATTGGTGTATACCAAGAAAATTATGTGATATATTTAAAAATTGTATATCAACATATTCTCATAGTTGTTATTTAGTTTAATTTTGAAGCATAAATAAAACAAAAATGTTAAATCTAGAAATAGGGCAGTTGACTGTTAAACATCTTTCCCTTGTTTTAGCATTTAGGGTTTAGTGTTTTCTGTATGTCTTATGTAGACAGTCACAGGTTCCCTTAGGTTAAGGGGGAATTATTCTTCCTCTAATAACTCCACTGAAGAAAATCTGTCACTCTGAGGTCCCCATTAGATAGTGTTGTGAGTGCTGCCCCTCAGTGGCAGTGACCAATCCCTATGACATGGGTAAGTACTGTTCCTGGGGCAGCTGCTGAGACTGCGAGGTTATGCCAAAAAAACATAGGAGCCAGTATGAAAGGGCCAATATGGGACAGTTTCAGCATTAAAAAGAACAATGAATGGAAAACAAAGCCTGTTTTATAGTAAAGTATTGACTCTGAAAAAAAAAAAAGAATGGATGTAATTGATGAAAAATAATGAATATCTAAAAATTATGAGTTCATTATGAAACTAAAAAGAGTGAAGCCACCCTCCCCAAACAAAAACAAAACTTTGGTTGCCTTTGGAGGTAACAAGGCACCTGATGTTAACTACGGTGATTTAAAATTGTCAGTTGAAAGGAAAGATTTAAACATTTATTTATTTATTTATTTATTTTTTCCTTTTTGTACCGGTAACGGGATCGCAACCCTCAGTGTCGCGCCCGTACCGCGACTGGTAACGGGATCGCAACCCTCCGTGTCGCGCCCGCACTGCGCTCAGCCAGTGAGCGGACCGGTCTCTATATGGGATCCAAACCCTCGGCGGGAGCGCCGCACCCTACCAAGTGCGCCACCGGGCCGGCCCGAGATTTAAACATTTATTCTGCCTTTCCTGTTTTAACTGTAATTCAGGGTAACCAAATAGTCCTAGTTGATGAGGGTAAAATCTTTAAAGAAGAATTCCAGCTAATAAATGTGGCAGAATGGCAGGATACTTTGTAATCCCGTATGAAATAACTGATTCAGGCAAAAACAATAGGAGTGGATGAAACCATCAGCTGAAAGGGGAGCTTTACACTGGAGAGGTCAAGGTTTCTCCAGCTGGGCATGTCCATCTTGCAGGGCCAATTGCAGAAGGCACCTCCTCATTGTTAGCCAGGGGATTATTGTTAATTTTGTATGACATTGTGGTTATATAACAAAAGGCCCATTTTTAAGAAACTTTTAATTTTGAAATTTTTTTTTTTTTTTTTCTTTTTTTTTGTCTTTTTTGTCTTTTTCCGTGTCCGGCAACGGATCGCAACCCTCGCAAAAAAGAAGTTCCCAGACACCCTTCACCTAGCTTTCCCTAAACCCCTAAACTGTACAATCATAGCATACTTATCCCATATACAATTACTGAGACCATGAACTTAACATTGATAAAATACCAATCTGCAGAATTTTAAAAATTTCTCCAGTTGTCCCTTTTAATGTCCCCTTTTAAAATCATCCCTTTTTCTGGTCCATGACCCATTCCGGGATCCCACATTGCATTTAGTTGTCAGATCTCCTTTATCTGTTCCAATCTAGGACAGTTCCTCAGTCTTTCTTTGTCTTTCATGACCCTGAAAGCTTTGAAGAGTACTGGTTACTCATTTTGTAGGCTGTCCCTCAATTTGGATATGCTTGATGTTCTCTCATAACTAGGTAAGTAGAAGTTTTGCATTTTTTGGTAGAATACTACAGAAGTGATGTTGTGTTCTTCGCAGTGCATCATTTTAGGAAATACATGTTGTAAATGTGTCTTTTACAAGGTTCATATGCTTTAGAGATACATACTGAAGTACGTAGGGATGAAACTTGATGATGTCTGGGATTTGTTTTAAAATACCTAGCCCAAAAGGGATGCGGGTGGTAATAAATGAAGCAGGAGTGACAGTATCTTGATAATTCTAGAATCTAGGTGATGGGTATATGTGGGTTAGTATACAGTTCTCTGTACTGTTGTGTATGTTTGTTATTTTTCATAATGAAAATTTAGTACTCCCCTCATGAAGTGTGTTCTAAACTGTTTACAGGAAATTTAGAATGTAAAAATTGGCTTTTCCCTCATTTGTTTCCATTTCGCATTTTTAGATTAAATATAATGATGTGATAACTTTGATGTTTATGATGACGTTTTTGGTGATAATGGGTTTTTCTTTTCGTAGCTGTGATTATCGCATTCCTTGTTGGTCTAGCAGTCATCATTGCAGGATCCATCCTAAAGTTCTTATTGAGGTGAGATGTTAGGGGAGGATGCAGTTAGGATATAGAAATCATGTACAGTCATTCCTCGCTATCTGTGGGGCACTGGTTCCAGGACCTACACAGGTGCTCAAGTCCCTGATATAAAATGGCACAGTATTTTCATATATCTCATGGACATTCTCCCATATACTTTAAATCATCTCTAGATTACTTATAATACCTAATTCAATGTAAATGCTATGTAAATAGTTGTTATACTGTATTGTTCAGGGAATAATGAAAAAGGAAAAAGTCTGTATGTTCAGTACATATGCAGTTTTTTTGTTTTCAAATATTTTCGATCTGTTGTAGGTTGAATGTGTGGAAGCAGAACCCATAAATACTGGGGCTGACTTGTATTCAGGAAGGGTAGTTTTGACCCTTCAGATGACCATTGTTCTTTGATTAAATGAACATATTAAATGAGCATTTATGTCCAGTGCTGTCCCAGGCACTAGGAATTCAGTGTAGACTGACGTGATCTCTGACGTCAGGGAAATGGTGATGAAGGTTCTAAGGGATTTTTGCTATCCGTTCTCCCACATGGCTGAAAATGAAGAAAATGCTTCGGAAAGAATTATTTCCTGGATAATCTCACATCCTACTTTTTAGCTAGTAGGTGTGGCTTGTGATAATTTTACGAAGCTGCTGCCATGCTGGACTCTTTGTCCTCTGTCTTTGAGCCTTCAGGCTGCCCTCCAGTCCAGCTTCTTGGCTCCCTGCCAGCCCAGGACCCTGGTGGCAAGGACAGAGGACTGGGCAGGACCTTAGGCCTCAGCATGGACTCCCTTCACTTTGTTTAGAGTTAGCCAACTTGGAGAAGGAATTCATTCTTCTCTACCTGGTTAACAGTGATTCTGGTGAGAGTACACTAGTAGACTAGAAAAGAAAGAAAGTAAAATAGATCCAGGCCTGGTTTAATTAACTTTAAGGTCTTACATGTTTTGAAAGGAATAAGATTGATTGAATTTTCACATGCTTTTCCTGTTAGGTTCTCAGGAAGGGCCATGAGATTTTATTGGCGAGATGTATCCAACTTGGAAGAAAGAAAACCTAACCTTTAAGTCAGCTAGCTTGGGGAAACCCTGAAACTTTGGGGAGCTTATTCACTCTGACCCTCTAGCTTTCTGCATCTTAGAAATAGTTTAATTCTATGTATGAAAACCTGATGGTATATAAGGATAAAAGAACTACTTGCTGCTTAGAAGCAGATGTTTAACCCAACTGCTCTTTTAGGGGTATTATGGAATACTAGCCGAGGAGTTTCATTTTCTTTGAATTAAGGTATTATCTTGTCAATCTTTTGATAAGATGGAAATGCTGTTCCATTATATTAGAATGCTTTCATTGGTTGCTTTTCATATGAATGGATCTTCTTACATCACTTTTTAAAGTAATTGATAGCTGAGGTAAAGAGAAGAAATTCAGTGTGTTGTACTGTGGGACCGAAGCTCCTCTTTGCACGTGATTCTGCCTTTCTGGCCCATGGGCAGAATGCTGTCATTGGCAAAGCAAGAATTCCTAAAGTTCAGGTTAGTCTGAACCAGAAAACAACCAGAAAAAAGCAGAGAGAATAAAGAATCTCTTTTTTTCACCTAAGAAACAAGCATGTACAAGAGAAGTATTTTTTTGTTTTGTTTTATTTTTTAATATCTCAAGTTCTTTTCACCCTTTCTTGTGTCTATTTTAATATTTTTCATGTGTTGGTGACATTATCGTTGCTGAATAAACTAGAAATGGGAGTTGAGTTTTGGGGGGGGGGGGAAGAGAAATTACAAATATGCTTGGATATATGGATTAAAAAAAATTATGCAACAGGGAAACCGAACTGGCTATGTGATGATATGAAATATTGCTAACATTTAAAAATGTGATAATGGTATTGTGATTACATTTAGAAATAATAACAGTCCTTATCTTTTAAAGATACATACTAAAGTGTTTATGGATGAAATGATGTTAATGGAAAACATATGGTGTTTTTTGGGACAGGCCAGGGTATACTTTTTGAAAGATCTTTTCCCAACTAGAAATCTCATTTTAAGGAAAAACCAGTTAAGGTATTATCTTCTATTAACCATATAAATCAATTTGATGTCATCGGGTTATCTTTTTAAATTAAAGCAGCCATAAAAAAAAACGAACCCAATATGTTAACTGTTTGAATCACTCCAGAGTTTATTTCAGACTCTCTGAGCATGCATATGTGCATTTTTATTTAGTTGTAACTGAATGTAGATGATGGTATTTAATACTTTATATTTTGTGGTGTGGACAGAACCCACATTCTTGTTTTCATAGCCACATCTTATCCTATCACACAGCTGTCATATCCTGTGCTTAGTCATTCCTGTGTTGAGTGAATTTGGTTGTTTCCAATTTTTTGCTGTTTTAACTTTAATATTATTATTATTATTATTGGCAGCTGGCAGGTACAGAGATCTGAACCCTTGACTTTGGTGTTATAACACTGTGCTCTAACCAACTGAGCTAACCGGCCAGCCTAGCTTTAATAGTATTATTAATAAGAATCCCAGCCACAGGGGACAGCTATCTCATTTAATCTTCACAACTTGTTAATGAAGGCTCTGTGATCATTCTTGTTTTATTGATGAGGAATCTGCTGTAAGGGTCAAGCATTTATAAATACTGTTGCTATAAACTTTGATTTCTATTTTTATGTTGTTAAAAAACTTTCTGGAATCAAGTAATATAGAATATGAACCTTAAATTAATTTTATTTCAATATGATGTCCAATCATTTTGAAAATTCTGCCAAAGAAAATAAATTAACTAAGCCTTGTATTTATTTACAGTTTGGATGACTTTAATAATTGGATTTTTAAGGCAATAAATTCTCAAGAAACTGATCGCCTCATCAATTCTGTAAGTTAGTAGAACGCATCATGTTTCATCTGGGTGGTTTTCTAAACTTGGAATTTACTATTTCATGTTTAATAATCATTATTGTGTGGTTTAATAAATCTTATTACATTGTGGAAGGCCAGGTTGAGGATCTTAGCTCCTGAGGGTCTGTTCTCTCTTCAGTGAGGTTGGAACTCTGGGCTATATTACGACCATGTGTGACTTGGAGACATTTTCCACTCTGCAGGCAGCATTATTGAATCAATCCAGTTAAGCAGAAAGTGTCAAGATTAAAAAAAAAGAATACAAGGGCCAGCCCGGTGGCGCACTGGATAAGTGCGCCGCTTGGGAAGCGCGGAGGCGCTCCCGCCCAAGGGTTCGGATCCCACATACAGACCGGTTCCCGCTCACTGGCTGAGCGAGGCGCGGGAGCAACACCGAGGGTTGCCATCTGGGTGGTTTTCTAAACTTGGAATTTACTATTTCATGTTTAATAATCATTATTGTGTGGTTTAATAAATCTTATTACATTGTGGAAGGCCAGGTTGAGGATCTTAGCTCCTGAGGGTCTGTTCTCTCTTCAGTGAGGTTGGAACTCTGGGCTATATTACGACCATGTGTGACTTGGAGACATTTTCCACTCTGCAGGCAGCATTATTGAATCAATCCAGTTAAGCAGAAAGTGTCAAGATTAAAAAAAAAGAATACAAGGGCCAGCCCGGTGGCGCACTGGATAAGTGCGCCGCTTGGGAAGCGCGGAGGCGCTCCCGCCCAAGGGTTCGGATCCCACATACAGACCGGTTCCCGCTCACTGGCTGAGCGAGGCGCGGGAGCAGCACCGAGGGTTGCAATCCCGTTGCCGGTCCCCGGTCCGGTACGGGGGCAACACTGAGGGTTGCGATCCGTTGCCGGACACGGAAAAAGATAAAAGACAAAAAAAAAAAAAAAAGAATACAAGACATCAGTGTTAAATCTATAAATGCTGATGGCCTACTGTAATGATTAAATATGTCATTAAATTTGTGTTAATAAATTCAGTCTCATTTAGCATCTGCAGTCTCATTTATGGATAGGTTTGCATCTATGCTTGTACTAGATGCACTTATGGGCCAGTTTTTTGTGTCCTTTATCAGCATGGCTCCTGGCAATCTCAACAAAGGCACAAAAAGCGAATAAAGTAGAAAGCCAAACCTTTAGACAGGATCTTTACAAAAACAAATTATTGTTTAGAAAAACTGTCTTTAGCTTTCCACTCTAATTTCTGACCTAAAAAATTGAAGAAGGAAATTTACTCCTTAACATTGTGAATTGTCATCTTTCTCCCTTTTTTTTCCTGAAGGAGCTGGGCTCTCCAGGCACAGTAGACCCTCTCAGTGGTGACACCCAACCAGGAACATGGCGCCCACCTCACTCACCACACCGCCTCCGCTGCGTGGACACGTTCAGGGGGTATGTGGGGCTTCCTTGTGACAGTGGGCACAGGTAGTGCTAGAGGTGCATAATTACACATAAAGACACCTTCAGCTTAAGGTATTTTGCATATCTTTACTTTTTAGGCTAGAAAAGACTTCTTGGATATAGAAATGAAGTCAGCAGCCAGCTTCTCCTTACTTGAAAACTATCACGATAGCCAATCTAACATGCTGGTAGAGAGGAACAGCAGGACGAGGCCAGCACCAGTGTCCACTGGTGTGTGCAGTTTGCTGCATTAAAGGCATTTGCATTTGGACAAGTGGCTGTACTTGAGGCTATCAGCTGCACCCCCATGACAACATAGAAGACACCCAATTAGAAATGAAACAGTAGCATGCGGAAGAGGAAGTGCTTATCCTTCACAGCTGGCAAAACAGCTAGAATATTAGGCCCTTTTGATAGCAAATCCACAGTTATGCAGTAAATTATTATTTTATAGCTCTGATAGAAGAACGAAGGCCAGGGTCAAATTCTGAAAATAAAGTGTAAAACTACATACCTACAAATAAATATGTAGGTATCAGTTCTTTTTTTTTTTTTTTAAAGATGACCGGTAAGGGGATCTTAACCCTTGACTTGGTGTTGTCAGCACCACGCTCAGCCAGTGAGCTAACCAGCCATCCCTATATGGGATCCGAACCTGTGACCTTGGTGTTATTAGCACCACACTCTCCCAAGTGAGCCACGGGCTGGCCCGTAGGTATCAGCTCTTCCAATTCTGTCCACCAAGGCCTTCTGGACTCCAGTCATAACCTTCTCCTTCTGTCCTAGCCTGTCCAGAGCCCGGCGTGCTCCCAGTAGGAGTATTGGAAGCCAGCTGGTAGTAACTATTCACTATTATAATGATAATAGAAAAATTGCTAACAGTTTTTGAGTTCTCATTATGTGCCAGTCACTGTTAATTTATTTACTCTCATAACAGTCCTATGAAGCATGTACTTTAGTATGCCTGTTTCACAGATGAAGAAACGGAGCCACTGAGTTAAATAATTTGCCTGAGGTCATTCAGGTACTAAGGGGAAAGGCAGGGTTTGATTCCAGGCAAGTGGCTCTGTGTCCCCACCGACCACCTCGTCACCGTGCCCGAGTCTTCATCCTCAGCACCTGTGCTGTGAGCATCTGCAGAGTCTGTTTTGTTGTGTTCCTCTTTCTTTCTGGTTATTATTATCACTTTTGGAGATAAGACAATCACATATTGACAAGAACTAACATTTATTTAGTGCCTAAAATGTGCCAAGCACTGGTTAGGCGCTATAATATACTTAATAGACACATGTGATATGGTATTTTTGCTTTTTTATAGATGAGCACACTGAGTAATTGATGAGAATCTTGCCCCAGGTCTTAGGGCTAGTAAGAGAAAAGGACTCAAGGTTTGAATCTTTAGTTCTCTGACTCAAATGATTGTGTGCCTTCTTTAACCTGAGATGTTGAAATAATTAGAACAAAGCTGAGTTATTGGAAATATTTGGCTGGCTGGTTAGCTCACGTGGTTAGAGTGTAATGTTACAACACCAGGGTCAAGGGTTCAGGTCCCTATACTGGCCAGCCACAAAAAAAAAAAAAAAGAAAAAGAAAAAGAAAGAAATGTTATGCTGTTTTCTTTGTTGGCAGGTGGCCTATACAGGGATCCGAACCCTTGACCTTGGTGCTATTAGCACCATGTTCTCCCTCATGGGCTAACAGGCCAGCCTTTGCTCTGTTTTCAAGTTATGTAGTTTAGTAGTGCGGTGTAAATTTTTCTTAAGACATCACGTCGGCAATGGTGGCAACAGAAGAATTTTAATGTATGGTCCCAATTGTAGTGATTAGAAAATAATAATTTCTTGCTCTTTTAAGTCTCATCTTATGTCATAAACTGTTTAGTAGAATTACGTTATTGCATGGCTGCATCTTGTGAGGATAAATGTTTTTCTTTCAGTTGGGCCCTTCCTTATCACATTGCAAACCCTAAATGCGTTCTCTTTGTTGGCTTTATAGGATAGCTCTCATACTCATGGTCTTCGTCAATTATGGAGGGGGAAAATATTGGTACTTCAGACATGCAAGCTGGAATGGTAAGAGCTTTCTTACAGGTAGCATTGCTTGCATAGGTCCATCCGGAGAACTGCAGGTCAGGAGAAGCACTTGGCATACCCTCAAGAGCTCCAGAGATGAGGCACGTCAGCCTCTGCTGAGCCACTGAGCTCCTGCCCCCTAGAATGACCTATAGATTATTCTGGGAGCCCTTTGGTTTTGTTCTTCCTCTTGTGAGCTATGGTTCTATAATGCTTTCTTGTAATAACATGTAGACGCTAAAGGTTTCTGCTGTGGGGCTGTGGACTCTGCAGAAGACGTTAAGAATTTGGTTGTAAATGATCATTGTCATGTTTTAGATATGCCTTTTATTACAGCCACCATATTCTCTAGGTTCTGTCTCCTAAGACGTGGTCCTTCTTGGGATTCCATTGAACTGGGGTTGGTCTGAGTGGTGCTGAATAATAACTGTGAATCTGGCCTGACAGGGGTTGAACAGTGGACTTTGAATAGCACTGCTTAAAGATAACAGACTTGTCCACACAATTCTAGTTTGGTTGCAGTTATGTTCGTAAGAAATGCCCCAGGCCCAGTGATTCATTGCCGAGTCTCAAGGGAGTGTTTGTGTGTGTACCCTTCTCTATATGCGTTTACTTTCTGTATCTTCCTTTCATGAAGTCCATTCTAGATTTAGGAAGTATTTATACTCCAGAGTGCTTTTTCTTACTGTTTGTGCTTGTGTTCTGCAGGACTGACGGTGGCTGACCTTGTGTTCCCATGGTGAGTTGTTGACAGTCAACCTTCATCTCTCCTGCAGGTCCTCTCATGATGCTGGTGCCTCTCTCTGAGGCTAGCCTTGGGTTCTGGACCACAGACCTGTGTTCTGCTGTTATGAAATGCTCCCAACAGTTGTGCTACTGGATGGTCTTATACTTGGCATAGTGCTTACACATGTGTATAAGAGATGAGTGATTTTGTGGGGAACATTTTGTTAGCATAGATGTAATATACCAGATCCTGAAATCTTGTAGGAAATCATAAATTTTTAATATGTAGTTAAGTTTTGGTAATCCTGAAAATAAATAGAAAATCATATTTCCTAAAAGAAGTATAGTATATTGGTATCAGTAGCAGGGCAATGATAATAATAAATTAAAATTTAAAATAATAGTGGAGTAACCAAACTGTCTGATCGTGCGTGGTTTCTTATTTCTGTTAAGGGACAGTTCCTGTGTGATATGGAATTTGTCTCTCTGCTCTCCTGCATTGAGCACTTTGCTCCATCATCAGGAAGCAGTACTAGCTGTGGTTGTAGGTCTTTGCTCCCTGGTGTTTTAGCACTGATATAAACTTGGGGTTTGGGGGTGATTCTTTTGAGGTTCCCTACAGAGAAAGTTCCCACTACTAGAGGCTTTTATATGATTAGGTGGACCCAAGAAGGGAAGCCGGGCACACCAAGGACTGCAGCAATAGCAAACCCTCATCCCTGTGAACCACATAATTATTTTTATTTATTTTTTTGTGGCTGGCCAGTATGGGGATTCGAACCTCTCACCTTGGTGTTATCAACACTGTGCTCTAACCAACAGAGCTAACCAGCCAGCCCCTGATCGACATAATTAGAAAAATCAGTATTCTCTTTTAAAGAAACAATTTAGGGATAATTTAGTATGGAAAATGAAAGGAAAGGAAAAATACGTGTGACTCAGACCAAATGGGGAAAAAGAAATTAAGCTTTCTTTTTTCTTTTAAGAGCAGGAGTGAATTTATTTATTTATTTATTTACTTTTTAAATTGGCCTTTTTTGTTTTCCTCATTACCTGTGTCCTAATTTACACCAAGGAGAATATCTGTATTCTCTAAGAGCAGGAGTGAATTTAGAAATGATTGAGATGTTTTGTTTGGTTCTCAGGGACTTTGCGGCCATGCTAATGAATGTCTGGTTATTAGGACTGTGACATCTTCATCGTCTTTTCTCTGTGATAACTAAATGGAAGGGTTGTTCTTGGAAATTCAATTTAATGCTAAAGAATTTTTCTCCTAAGACAGGACTTGAAGATGCACTGTCACAAACCTCACAGCCCAAGAGGGCTGTGTTTCAATTTCTTCCTCAACTATCAGCCTGATGTTAATTCAATAATTGGTTACTTGAAACAAATCATGTGTTGATTCTCTTTATTGCGGGCTCAGTTCCAGACCACCACAGTAAAGCGAATATCACAATAACGCAGGTCTCCCAGTGCGTGTACAAGTTATGTTTGCACTGTACTGTAGTCTGTTAAGTGTGCAATAGCATTATGTCTAAAAAAGAATGTACATAACTTAATTAAAAATTACTTTCTTGCTAAAAAATGCTAACGATCATCTGAGCCTTCAGTGACTGGTATCTTGCTGGTGGAGGGTCTTGCCTCTGTGTTGATGGCTGCCGACTGATCAGGGTGGTGGTTGCTGAAGGCTGGGGTGGCTGTGGCAACGTCTTAAAAGAAGATGGTGATGAAGTTTGCCACAATGATTGACTCTTCCTTTCATGAAAAATTTGTGTATAGCATGTGATGCTGTTTCATAGCATTTTCCCCACAGGAGAACTTCTTTCAAAATTGGAGTAAGTCCTCTCAAACCCTGCTGCTGCTTTGTCAACTAAGCTTATGTAACATTCTAAATCCTTTGTTGTCATTTCAATAAAGTTCACAGCATCTTCACCATGAGTAGATTCCATCTCAAGAAACCACTTTCTTTGCTCATCCATAAGAAGCAACTCCTCATCCCGTAAAATTTTATCATGAGATTGCAGCAATTCAGTCACATCTCAGGCTCCACTTCTTTTTTTTTTTTCCTTTTTGTCTTTTTTTTTTTCGTGACCGGCAACGGACTGCAACCCTCAGTGTCGCGCCCGCACCAGACCGGGACCAGCAACGGGATCGCAACCCTCGGCGTTGCGCCCACACCTCGCTCAGCCAGTGAGCGGCCGGTCTGTATGTGGGATCCGAACCCTCGGCAGGAGCGCCGCCGCGCTCTCAAGCGGTGCACTGTAGCAGTACACCACCGGGCCGGCCCTCAGGCTCCACTTCTAATTCTAGTTCCCTTGCTGTTCCCACCTTATCTGCAGTTACTTCCTCCACAGAAGTCTTGAACCCCTTAAAGTCATCCGTGAGGGTTGGAATCAACTTCTTTCAGACTCCTGTTAATGTTGATATTTTTACCACCTCTAGGATGGTGGATCCTTTTCAGAAGGTTTTCAATTGACCTTGCCCAGATCCATCAGAGGAAACACTATCTATGGCAGCTATAGCCTTGTGAAATGTATTTCTTAAATAATAAGACTTGAACGTCAAAATGAATCTTTGATCCATGGGCTGCAGAATGGAAGTTGTGTTAGCAGGCATGAAAGCAGCATTAATCTTGTCCATCTCCAGAGCTCTTGGGTGACCAGGTGCAGTCAATGAACAGTAATATATTTTTTTTTTTTTTAAAGATGACCGGTAAGGGGATCTTAACCCTTGACTTGGTGTTGTCAGCACCACGCTCAGCCAGTGAGCGAACCGGCCATCCCTATATGGGATCCGAACCCGGGGCCTTGGTGTTATCAGCACCGCACTCTCCCGAGTGAGCCACGGGCTGGCCCCAATGAACAGTAATATTTTGAAAGGATCATTTTTTCTGAGCAGTGGGTCTCAACAGTGGGTTTAAAATATTCAGTAAACCATGCTGTGAACAGATGTGCCATCCTCCAATCTTTGCTGTTCCATTTATAGAGCACAGTAGATTTCGCATGATTCTTAAGGGCCCTAGGATTTTCAGAATGGTAGATGAGCGTTGGCTTCAACTTAAAGTCACCAGCTGCATTAGCCCTTAACAAGAGAGTCATCCTGTCCATTGAAGCCAGGCATTGACTTCTCTTTAGCTATGAAAGTCCTAGATGGCATTTTCTTCCAATAGAAGGCTGTTGTGTCTTCATTGAAAATCTGTTGTTCAGTGTGGCCACCTTCATCAATGGTCTCTGCTAGACCTTCTGGATCACTTGCTGCAGTTTCTACATCAGCACTTGCTGCTTCGCCTGGCACTTTTACGTTAAGTAGACGGCTTCTTTCCTTCAGCCTCATGAACCAACCTCGGCTAGCGTCACACTTTTCTTCTGCAGCTTCCTTACCTCTCTCAGCCTTCGCAGAACTGAAGGGAGTCAGACCTTGCTCTGGATTAGGCTTTGCCATAAGGCAGTGCCATGGCTGATTTGGTCTTCTGTCCAGACCACTAGAACTTTCTGCATATCTGCAATAAGGCTGTTCTGCTTCCTTATTCTTGTGTTCACTGGAGTAGCACTTTTAATCTTCTTCAAGAACTTTTCCTTTGCACTCACAACCTGGCTAACTGGAGCAAGAGGCCTTGCTTTTGGCCTGTTTCAACTTTAAGTATGCCTTCCTCACTAAGCTGACTTGTTTCTAGCTGTTGACTTAAGGTGAGAGACATGCAGCTCTTCCTTTCACTTGAATACTTAGAGGCCATTGTAGGGCTTGCATTGACCTAATTTTAATATTGTTGTGGCTCAGGGGGCCGGCCCGGTGGCGCACTGGATAGTGCGCCGCTTGGGAAGCGCGGCGGCGCTCCTGTCCGAGGGTTCGGATCCCACATACAGACCGGCTCCCGCTCACTGGCTGAGCGAGGCGCGGGAGCAACACCGAGGCTTGCGATCCCGTTGCCGGTCCCCGGTCTGGTACGGGGGCAACACTGAGGGTTGCGATCCGTTGCCGGACACTGAAAAAAGACAAAAGACAAAAAAAAAAAAAAAAATATTGTTGTGGCTCAGAGGTTAGAGAGGCCTGAGGAGAGGGAGAGAGGCAGGGGACATCTGGTTGGTGCAGCAGACAGAACACCCACAACATGTAAGTTTGCTGTCTTAGATGAGCGTGGTTTGCAATTCCCCAATATAATTCAATAGTAACATCAAAGATCGCTGATCACAGATCACCATAAGAGATATAATAATAATAAAAAAGTTTAAAATATTGCAAGAGTTACCAAAGCGTGACACAGACGTGAAGTCAGCACGTGCTGTTGGGAAAATGGTGCTGATAGACTTGCTTACAGGGTTACCACAGACCTTCAGTTTGTAAAAAATGCAATATCTGAAGCACAATAAAATGAGGTATGCCTGTACAGGAGTACTTCAAAAAATTTGTGGAAAAATGGAATTAAAAGTTAATACAAATCTTTCCATGAATTTTTGAAGACTGTATTATAAAATATTAATATGTAACAAAAAATTGGAAATGGCCACCTGTTAATAGCTAGTTTTCTTTTTTTTTTAGGTTTGTATTTATTATGGGGTCTTCGATTTTCCTATCAATGACTTCTGTACTGCAACAGGGATGTTCAAAATTGAAGTTGTTGGGGAAAATTGCATGGAGGAGTTTCCTGTTAATCTGTATAGGAATTGTCATTGTGAACCCCAATTATTGCCTTGGTCCATGTAAGTATTTTATGCTCTGTCAGTATATATTCAGCTTGAGATATGGAAACTATATGTTGTAATTTGAAAGAAATGTAATTTCTCCATCTCAGGTACCTGCAAAAAAACCCAGTTATTAGAAAAGCAAATACAAGTACAATGCTTGTATAATTTGGGGCTTTATTATTATCATTACTATTATCTTGGAATTTTAGACATCTTTGTTGTTACTTTAGTGGTGTGCAGTGAGACAGGAAAGCTGAGGCTTTGGGTTATGCCCCATGCTTTGTACCAGGATCAGAATTGGGAAAGGCAGTAGTCTGTTTCCTCAAGGGGCTTAAGCTGTCATGAGCAGAAGAGGACACAGACATCCAGACAGTCATCTGGTGAAGCAATCAAGCAATAAGCACTTTTATTGAAGGACTCTACACACTAGGAGGAGATGTAAGTCACTTCTAGTTGGTGTCACATAAAAGCAGATTTGGTAGAACTCCAAAAAGTGAGCCATTGTTCCCAGCATGATTCCTCATAGGTTTTGTTATAGGGTTGTACTCTTTTGCAGATATATAATCATGCAGCCTATAGGGCAGGGAGAGTCAGTCAGTGGCTTGTGTTGGGTCCGCAAGTTCCTGGTGGGCCTGAGGCTTGAGTCCATATTCCTCATGGGAAAGGGTCTGGAGATGAACTTGAGGGCCAGGGGTAGTCCCTGCTCTGTCCCCACACCTGAGGTCAGCTTCCTGTTTAAGTTTGAGCCATGCCCCTGGCCGTCCTCCTATTGAATGGGATTGGCCTGTTTTTGAAACTTGGTTTGCACTGTGTCCCCTGACTATGTGTATTTCCATCTCCAGGAGCTTAAAAAGACTTCCTTAGGTGTGTCTTCCCCCTTAGAAAAAAATAATGTTGTATTGGGATAAGACGACAGATGTTGGCTAACACTTTCCCTAACTCGTATCTTCTGCAGTGTCTTGGGATAAGGTGCGAGTTCCTGGCGTGCTACAGCGGTTGGGAGTGACTTACTTTGTGGTTGCTGGGTTGGAACTCCTCTTTGCTAAACCTGTGCTTGAAAATTGTGCCTCGGTGAGAAAGCATGTTTTTAAAAAAGAGAAGAGGAAAAATCACTATACAGTTTTTAGAACTATTTTTTTAAGTTCTGAGTATAATACTGTACTGCTAATGCATTCTTCTTTCCCCTTCATGTAATTATTTTTATTTAATCTTTGTGTCAATATTTTATTGTGGTAAAAAAACATTTAACTTGAGATCTACCCTCTTAACAAATTTGTTGGCATGCAGTAATCAAATGCATTCTTGATGGCATTAAATAATGTCACCATCATGCAGTTTGCTAGTTCAGTCTCTTGGGGTATTATTGCCAATTTTTCATTTTTATTTTGGTGTCTACACAAAAATGTGCCAAGGTGTATGGTATGGGAAGAAGACAGTGTTGTGCTTGGCTGTTTATAATTCTTCTGCGTAAGAAGTGTGTCAGTGTCTCACCTCCTCTGTGATTACTTCCTATCTTACTATGAATTACTGGGTCAAGTTTACCCAGGTAACAGTTATCCTGCCCCCCCCCCCCCAACAGGTTTCCATACATCAACTTCCAGATTCATATGTGAAAAAAGAACTGCGAGGTTGACTGACTGTGCATTTGAAACTATTGTTTGAAGGGAGGTAACTGGGAGGGGGAAAAACTTGTAAAGCGGTATTTATGGAACTTTCTGCAGTGATGAAAATATTCTTTGTGCTATCCAGTGGGGCAGCCACAAGCCAGGTTAGCTCTTGAGTACTTGAAATGTGGCTGGTGTGACTGAGAACTGAATTTTTAACTTTATTTAATTTATAATTTAAATAGTCATGTGTGGCTAGTGCAGATCTAAAGCATATACATTTCAGTGATAAAATAATTTTATACATTATTTAGAAACACTGCCTTTATCTCTATAGTACTTTATAGTTTGTATTGTGCTTTTACATATATTCATTTAGTCCCTGAGATGCTCTGTGGGCAGATCTGCCTGCCAGAGCAGTCTGCCCAGGCAGAGATTGCAGGTGAGGACCTGGAGCCGCACTACCTGGGTTTGAATCCAGCTCTGCCACTTACTAGCTGGGCAGCCTCGGGTGTGTTATTTGACTCTGTGTTTCAACAGCACCTACTTCTCATAAAGGTGTTGTGAGGATTCAGTAAGTTAATTTGTGTCAAATTCTAAGAACTGGCACCTAGAATACGTTAGTACATTATTAACTCTTTATCCTTTCATGTTTTCAGAAAAAATATTTTCTACAGAGTTCATATTTGACTGTTTTAAAAGTGTTTTTCTTCCTCCGCTTCCACCCTGTCCCTGTGCCTCTTCCACAGTGCTGCCAGACTGGGCCATCTAGCAGGACAGTCTGAGCTGGTCCCTTGTCACTTTTGGGGGGAGTTATCCTTGGCTTCCTTAGACCTATGGAAGAAAGCCCCTGACTTGAAGTGAGACCCACAAAGCCACCCTGCCTCCCCCCTTGTCTGCCCTTCCCACCGTCCAGCCCTCCTGAGTCACCCCCACCACCTCGGAGGCACCACCGCGCTTCTTCGCTGTCCCTGGCGTGCGTCTGTGTGCTGTTCCGTTACGCTCAGAGCGCTCTTCCTGCCTGGGTCATCTTGTGCCTGTTGACTCTGCCACCTCCCTCCTTCCCTGAGTGCGTGCTTCATCTTTTGGTCTTGTGTTCCTCTCTCAGTCTCCACTAAACGAGGCCAGGGGTAGTGTGTCATTCTTCCGTATAATCTCAGTATCTAGTGGCATGCCCAGCAAATGTATTTGTTTGTTGAGTGATTAAGACAGTGGATGAAATAAGAACGTCTTAGGTGATTCTCTTGGTCATCTGTTTTCTTCTCCAGGCAGGAAAAATACTGTTGTATTACAAGGATCAGACCAAAGACATCCTGATCAGATTCACTGCCTGGTGTTGTATTCTAGTGAGTAACCACTGTTCCTCAATAAAATTCCTTTTCTTCACACATAAACACATTTAAAAAGAAATAAAATTTTAGCCACACTGGTATCATAGCTGTTACCACATTGCAGCAGGTAACATTCTTCACTTAACTAACAGAAGAACAAATCTTTACACTTAAATTCTCAGGTTTATTTTACTAGGAAAATGTCCTTATAAATAAGACAATGTTTGCCGTCAAACATCCATCCAGGAATGCCTGAAGAAATGTGGGAGGTATGGATTCTGTGAAGGGAGCCAAATCAGAAAGTCTAGGCAAATAATAACAGGTTTCCATACATCAACTTCCAGATTCATATGTGAAAAAAGAACTGCGAGGTTGACTGACTGTGCATTTGAAACTATTGTTTGAAGGGAGGTAACTGGGAGGGGGAAAAACTTGTAAAGCGGTATTTATGGAACTTTCTGCAGTGATGAAAATATTCTTTGTGCTATCCAGTGGGGCAGCCACAAGCCAGGTTAGCTCTTGAGTACTTGAAATGTGGCTGGTGTGACTGAGAACTGAATTTTTAACTTTATTTAATTTATAATTTAAATAGTCATGTGTGGCTAGTGCAGATCTAAAGCATATACATTTCAGTGATAAAATAATTTTATACATTATTTAGAAACACTGCCTTTATCTCTATAGTACTTTATAGTTTGTATTGTGCTTTTACATATATTCATTTAGTCCCTGAGATGCTCTGTGGGCAGATCTGCCTGCCAGAGCAGTCTGCCCAGGCAGAGATTGCAGGTGAGGACCTGGAGCCGCACTACCTGGGTTTGAATCCAGCTCTGCCACTTACTAGCTGGGCAGCCTCGGGTGTGTTATTTGACTCTGTGTTTCAACAGCACCTACTTCTCATAAAGGTGTTGTGAGGATTCAGTAAGTTAATTTGTGTCAAATTCTAAGAACTGGCACCTAGAATACGTTAGTACATTATTAACTCTTTATCCTTTCATGTTTTCAGAAAAAATATTTTCTACAGAGTTCATATTTGACTGTTTTAAAAGTGTTTTTCTTCCTCCGCTTCCACCCTGTCCCTGTTCCTCTTCCACAGTGCTGCCAGACTGGGCCATCTAGCAGGACAGTCTGAGCTGGTCCCTTGTCACTTTTGGGGGGAGTTATCCTTGGCTTCCTTAGACCTATGGAAGAAAGCCCCTGACTTGAAGTGAGACCCACAAAGCCACCCTGCCTCCCCCCTTGTCTGCCCTTCCCACCGTCCAGCCCTCCTGAGTCACCCCCACCACCTCGGAGGCACCACCGCGCTTCTTCGCTGTCCCTGGCGCGCGTCTGTGTGCTGTTCCGTTACGCTCAGAGCGCTCTTCCTGCCTGGGTCATCTTGTGCCTGTTGACTCTGCCACCTCCCTCCTTCCCTGAGTGCGTGCTTCATCTTTTGGTCTTGTGTTCCTCTCTCAGTCTCCACTAAACGAGGCCAGGGGTAGTGTGTCATTCTTCCGTATAATCTCAGTATCTAGTGGCATGCCCAGCAAATGTATTTGTTTGTTGAGTGATTAAGACAGTGGATGAAATAAGAACATCTTAGGTGATTTTCTTGGTCATCTGTTTTCTTCTCCAGGCAGGAAAAATACTGTTGTATTACAAGGATCAGACCAAAGACATCCTGATCAGATTCACTGCCTGGTGTTGTATTCTAGTGAGTAACCACTGTTCCTCAATAAAATTCCTTTTCTTCACACATAAACACATTTAAAAAGAAATAAAATTTTAGCCACACTGGTATCATAGCTGTTACCACATTGCAGCAGGTAACATTCTTCACTTAACTAACAGAAGAACAAATCTTTACACTTAAATTCTCAGGTTTATTTTACTAGGAAAATGTCCTTATAAATAAGACAATGTTTGCCGTCAAACATCCATCCAGGAATGCCTGAAGAAATGTGGGAGGTATGGATTCTGTGAAGGGAGCCAAATCAGAAAGTCTAGGCAAATAATAACAGGTTTCCATACATCAACTTCCAGATTCATATGTGAAAAAAGAACTGCGAGGTTGACTGACTGTGCATTTTACGCCTGAACTTGCAATCATGTTTCCTACAGGATTCACTCTAATTTATTGATTAGTTTACCTTCTTGAACTCAGAGGAATGTGACAAGGTATTTTTGGAGAATATTTGTTAGTTATGCATATTAAAAATATGTTTCCAGTTAAAAGAGTAAAAACATAGGGCCGCCCCCGTGGCGCACTCGGGAGAGTGTGGCGCTGGGAGCGCGGTGATGCTCCCGCCGCGGGTTCGGATCCTATATAGGACTGGCCGGTGCGCTCACTGGCTGAGCGCCGTGCGGGCGACCCCACACCAAGGGTTGTGATCCCCTTACCGGTCACGAAAAAGACAAAAAAAAAAAAAAAAGAGTAAAACATAAGGCACAATTTTAAGCCCTCCCTAAGCAATTAAATAGCTGATATTTTTTGATCATGAAACACAATTGTTTTTTGAGATAATATAAAACTTTAATATCTTTCCCCTTCCCATTATAGGGGCTTATTTCTGTTGCATTGACCAAAATTTCTGAAAATGAAGGCTTTATTCCAGTAAACAAAAATCTCTGGTAGGTATAGAAAAAAGTGTCATTTTAATGTTGATGTTTTCCAGTGTTGAAATGGGCAGCAGGACACTGTGTTTACCTCTTCCCAGGTCCATTTCCTATGTCACCACGCTGAGCTCCTTTGCCTTCCTCATCATGCTGATCCTGTACCCGGTTGTGGATGTCAGGGGATTGTGGACAGGAACCCCATTCTTCTATCCAGGTAAGTCACCTCCAACCCCAAACAGGTGGTGATGGTGACCACGTGGACTGGCCCAGAGACCTGCTGAGCGTCCTCAGTGCTGGGACTCAAGTCACTTCCCTGGTGGCATGTTTCCAGAAAACAAGCTGAGGGAGAAGGCAGTAGGGGCCTGTTGTCACGGGTCTCACAGCACCGTTGCTGTTCTGAAGCAGTCCACCCCATTTTTACCCATTTAGGTTGAAACAGCTTATGAGACCCACTTGTTGCTTCAGGCATTACCAAATTTTAGAGTATCAGAAATGATCCAGGGCATATTATCAAGGTTCTAATACTTAATAAATGGAACTATGCTTTCTTTCTTAATGTAAATGCACTACCTTAAAGATTAGGCATTATAAGAAATATCAAGAGGTGAAATCAAAAGATAAATGGAATGACTTAGATGCAGTTCTACCCAAGGACTGAGAGATAGACTAGGTAATTTCAATGATTCATTTCAGCCCTTTAATTCTAGTAAAAGTTACATTCTTTGGACCTCCAGTTTTCTGTCTAGAAAATATGTTAATAATTTTAGTTTTCCTTTCAGATTTAGTATTCAAGAATTACATTGTTACAGAAAGAATCTTTTCTAATAATTTTTAATATAGTTTACACTTACTTACAAGATCTGTATCACTTATTTTTTTGGCAGTAGCCAATAATGTGAGTGCATGCTTTTTGTTTTTTCACTGAACTAACTTCAAGAATTAAATAGATGACCATGTGTAACTTAGGAAAACCATTGTCTTCTGTGTCTCTCCTTAAGGAATGAATTCTATTCTGGTGTATGTCGGCCACGAGGTGTTTCAGAACTACTTTCCCTTTCAGTGGAAGCTGGAGGATAACCAGTCACACAAAGAACATCTAACTCAGAACATAGTCGCCACTGCTCTCTGGGTGCTCATTGCGTACATTCTCTATAAAAAGAAGATTTTTTTGAAAATCTGAGAACTCCCACTGAAATGTGTTGCTGGAGACTCTAGTGGACCTGGGGGGAGAACTGAAGCAGGCTTTATTAAAGGGAATCATTAATTATACAGTCGATAGGATGCATATTTCCAGATTACTGGGGACATGCGGATATGCTTGAGCAAGTTTAACCAGGACATGGCTCATCAGAATTCTGCCTGTGTATTTGTGACTTACATATATGGAATGTAATTGTCTATTTTTCTCCATCTTCTATGGAAATGGATCTATTTGGAATTTCATTATAAGGAGATCTCCTTTAACTTTCTTTTTTTTTTTTTTTTTTTTTTTTTTTTTTTTTTTTCCGTGTCCGGCAACGGATCGCAACCCTCAGTGTTGCCCCCGCACCGGACCGGGGACCGGCAACGGGATTGCAAGCCTCGGTGTTGCTCCCGCGCCTCGCTCAGCCAGTGAGCGGGAACCGGTCTGTATGTGGGATCCGAACCCTCGGGCGGGAGCGCCGCCGCGCTTCCCAAGCGGCGCACTTATCCAGTGCGCCACCGGGCCGGCCCTCCTTTAACTTTCTAAAAGGTATTCCCGTGGGTACTTACTTTGTTTCTGTGATGTATAAAAAAATATGAGGTCTGATTCTTATTGATTTTGTTTTCCTGAAACTGCCTTTGCATGTGTACACACACGCCAACCAAAAATACCATTATTTCTGTTGTGGCTGACTATAAAGCTTATTGAATATGATGTGTCATAATATAGTCTAATGTTTTTTGGTTAAGTGCAGTTTAATGTCTCAAGAAGGCCAAAGTAATTTTCTTTTCAAATCTGCAAGGCTCTGATGGGTCCAAAAAATGTCTATCAGAGGCCAAAAACCTTTTCCCCACTTGAAAAAAAAAAAAAGTTAAAATACAGATATGTTATTCCCAACCAATCTTGTTTACCTTCCTACCTACCCATCTGTCCATCTGTGTATCTGTCTGTGCATCTAGACGGTAGCTAGGTCCCCAGGGGGTAGCTGTGGAGGAGAGGAAAGTCTTCTCTTGCTTGTGGGTCCAGGTTTGCCATCCCTGCTGTGTAAAATCCTGGGCAAGTCTCTTGGCCTGTCTGGGCCTTTTTCCTCATCTGCAAAATGAGGGGGATGCATATGACCTCTCACATCCCTTCCAACTCTTAGATGTGGTGAGATAGGGTACATCTATGGCTTTTCTGGAATCTTCCTGCTGGTAATCACAAAACTGGTGGGAGAATACACAAAGATAAACAGCACTGTTCATAGGATGCATCGTCATGCTTATGACTTTTCTGCAAGAATTCCATATATAAGGAAAGTGACAGGAGGTTTGAACTTTAGACCACCCTTTAATGGTGAGGTGAGGCCATCTCAGCCGGTTCCTCTGCCTCTCAGCTGTCCCCACTGCATGGATGACTTCTGGTCTGTATTTCCAGCTCTAACCCCTGCCCTGCCAGGCCCTCCTCCTGATGTCTGCCAGTATCTCAGGCTCACTTCTTCCCTCCTCTCTCTCCCCAGATTCAAAGCTTTTCAGATTTTTCTGCTTTGTGAATGACCATTCTGTCTCTAGGTATAAAATGCTGCCCTTTTCTCACCTGCCTTACCTCCACTGCCCCCACGTTTCCACATTTAGTCACTGCCAGGCTCATCCCCCATGTGTGCCTGCTTCGCTGTCATTGTCACTGCCTCACTACTCCAGTCCAGACTCTTGTATTCATTTTTAAACTGGCCTTCTTCCCTCAGTCCCTCCTTCTGGGAAGTCACTAATCCATTGCCACACCAGAGCTGGGATCTTTATAAAGCAGAGCTGGGATCTAATCACCTCGGTTGGAAAAACTTCCACTGAAATGAAAACATCTTTGCCTGCCACGTCAGCTGATCCCACGTCTTTCCAGCTTGCTTTCCCCGTCCCCTCTCACCCACCCTACTATTCCAGCCCAGTTAGACCCTCTGCACCTCCGTCATGTAGGCAGTACCTCCTGCTTCTGATTTTGATAACAGTCTCCCTAGATTACCTTTTCCTCTTTTTTTTTTTTTGATCTCCATTTGATCTTGATCCTTATTTTTTTTTTCTATCTGCATTTGATCTGTCATTTTAAATCCCTTCATTCTAAGGCATCTTCTCTAATTTCTTATTTTCATCCAAAAGTAGTGTTTTCTTCCTCTGGGTTCTTATAATATTGGCATCAGTCTCATGGCGTGTATCACTTTCTGCCTTGTGCGGTAGTTATTTTTGTACATGTCTAATTTCTGATTTCCCATGCTAGACTGTGAGCTTGCCACCGGCAGGAATTATGCCTTGTTCCTCTGCGTATTTCTCACGGCACCAAACAGTGCCTTTTACATAGCAGGCACTAAATAAACATTTTTTAAAGCAAAACAATGGTGGCTTTTTCAAAAAGATATTTAAGTGCTGATGAAATTAGCGTGATTCTGCATGTGGACAGTCATCTCAGGAATCTTGCTGCTACTCTTTCCTTGAGGTGAGCCATTGTGCATGGTCACACCTGTGTCATCCCAAATTTCAGCAATTAAAGCTGAGTGTGGCCTCTCCAGATGAGTTATCTAGAAACATTTCTCAAACTGGATATTACATCAGTTAGGATGTCTTGAGCCATAAGGAACAGGAAATCCTGGTTCACACGAGTTATAAGGAAAACTGATCTCACAGAAGTCTTGAGGGAGTTGGGCTCCAGCCTATCAGCTTGCTCTCAGCTAGCAAGAGGCCACTTCCGTGATCCCAGGTGTTACACACAAACACAGCACTCAGCGGAAGGATAGGACATCTCCTCTGAGAGTCCCTTAGTTTTATCAGCCAGAAAGCCCTTCCAGAAGCCTCCCAGCAGCCTTCTCCTCTTGTCTAGAAGTTCCTCACTTGGCTGTTCCAAACGTAGCAGTGACAAAGGAACTTGTCTGTGTGGAGGAAAGTGATTACCTGAACAAAATTCCTTTGGGAAGGGAGCAGGGAATGTGCTGGAGGTGAGTGGCAGAACAGGGAAATGGTCGTGGGGAGACAACCAGTGAGTGACGGCTGCATCGTGCAGAGAAGTAGACAGGGGTGGCGTTCTTACGTAGTAAGGCGAAAAATACTGTTCTGCAGTGGAGGGATGCAAAAAGACATTTAGTTCTTTTTTTTTCATATTTATATTTCTAATTCCTATTTATAATAAGTGAGTAACTGCTGCTCTTATAATCATAAAATGTATCTTTTAACTCTGGCCAATAAAGGGCATCTTTTTTTTTTTTTTTTTTTTTTTTTTTTTTGTCTTTTTCCGTGTCCGGCAATGGATCGCAACCCTCAGTGTTGCCCCCGTACCGGACCGGGGACCGGCAACGGGATCGCAACCCTCGGTGTTGCTCCCGTGCCTCGCTCAGCCAGTGAGCGGGAACCGGTCTGTATGTGGGATCCGAACCCTCGGGCGGGGGCGCCGCCGCGCTTCCCAAGTGGCGCACTATCCAGTGCACCACCGGGCCGGCCCAAAGGGCATCTTTTTTAAATGTATAATAATCCAGTTTGTATCAAAGGGAGTTTAAATGAAATTAATAATCCAGTTTGTATCAAAGGGAGTTTAAATGAAATTAATAATCCAGTTTGTATCAAAGGGAGTTTAAATGAAATTAATAATCCAGTTTGTATCAAAGGGAGTTTAAATGAAATTTCAGCATATTGGGTTTTTTTTTTCTTTTCTTTTGGTTTTGTTTTGGGTCTGCATATCCATGTTCATTGCAGCACTATTCACAATAGCCAAGATATCGAACCAACTTAAGTGTTCATTAGCGAATGAATGAATGGATCAAGAAATGTGGTATATATTCACAATGGACTACTATTCAGCCTTAAAAGAGGAGGAAACCCTGTCATTTGTGACAACATGGATGAACGTTGAGAGCATTGTGCTGAGTTAAGTCAGACGAAAAGACAAATGCCACTTATGTGGAATTTTTAAAAGGTACTCATAGAAGCACCATAATATGGTGCTTACCAGGGACTGCAGGGGGTGAGGATTTGGGGAGATATTGATGAAAGAAGACAAAATTTCAGTTGGACAGGAGCAATAATTTTAAGTGCAATGTGGTGACTATAGTTAATATGTTACATGCTTAAAATGAAAGATGTTTCTTAGAAGGCAACATATACACTATGTTGAGAACATTAGTTCATCAGCAAATGGATTTGATTACCACACTAATGCACCTGATGACTGGTAAAAGACATATGTTTAAAGGATGTGTCCTAGAATGCTGCTTATACAGTATGTTGTGAAGTATTTAAAGATATGTTTAAAATATGTTTCTTGGAATATCTTTTATTTCATGTTATTTCAAAGAATGGATGTGTTGACCATACTGTAATGCATGTAGTTAAGTGCTAAGGATATGTGTTTAAAAGTTTACTAGAACACCATACTTACACTGTGTTCAGAACAGTGTTATTTCATGTATTGGATCTGTGCTGACCCCAAGAAAATACAGGGAGTGAAGTGCAAAAAATAATGTTTCTTAGATTGCTACTTATCCCATATTGAGAAACTTTTTTTGATCAAATGGATGAGGTGACCACATTTTAACGTGTATAGTGGAGTGTTTAGAGACATTTTTAAAAGTTGTTTCTTAGAATGCTATAGTATTATGTCTGAGAGTGGATGAGGTGGCCAGAGTGTAACGCGTGTACCGAAGTGCTAAAAGGTACGTTTTGAAAATATCTGACTGTTACTTATATACTGTTTTGAGAAGTATTTTTTAAGTGAATGGATGTGTGACCACACTGTAATGCATGCAATTAAGCGTTTACAGGCAGTAGTTTAGTGATATTTGTAGAGTGATACTAATACACAATGTTGAGAACTGTTATTTCAGTGAGTGGATGTGGAAAACATGCTGTGATACATGTGGTGTAGTGTTTAAAACATTTTAAAGATGTTTCTTAGAATCCTATTTATACACTACGTTGAAAAGACTAATTTCAGAGAATGGATATGATGACAACAGTCTAATAAATGTAGTGAAGTGTAAAGATATATGTAAAAGATGTAACAGTGTGCTTCTTATGGGAAGTGTGCTGTTTTAGATAATACGATGCACACACTAATGCATGGAGTGAACTGGTAAAGGATACATTTAAAAGATGTTTCTTAGGTGATTTCTTATACAGTATGTTGAGAACAGTTTTAGTGAATGAACGTAGTAACTATACTTTATTGCCTGTAATGTATTGCTTAAAGACATGTTTCAAAGATGTTCTTAATAATACACGATGTTAAGGACAGTGTTATTTCAGAGAATGAATATGATTACCATGATGTAAT